TTAAACAAAGTGCCTTTTCTTCTCAGGGAAATATGAAATGATTCATGGCTTGAGGTCTGTTGCTATATTGCCAGCTGCCTTGCCAGTGGCCAGCCCACAATGCTGCTTTTCCCCAAAGGCTATGGGTGTCCTGTAAGTGCTTTGTACAATAATGCTACTAATGTGTCTATTGCAGTAAACAGCAAGAAAAGTACAAACCTCCAACTCTGTATCCTCACACCTATTTGTGCAGGGTCAAGCACACAGGTGTCCAAGATGGATGGGTTTCTCTCTTCAGCAAGCACAGGACTTTTCTGTCTCCTGTGGCTCCTTTTGAGGAGACTACCCAGACATGCAGGAGGGAAATCCTCCTTTTGGTGCGATCACAACTGTTTCCATCAGAGCACTTTCCTTTTTGCATTTATCAAGCTCCCCTGCTAAAGACATGTTTATAATACTCTGTGGTAGTAGCCCAACTTTCCAGCCTCCAGCTATGTTTGGGGTGATTCCTGTAGAATAATGTCACAATTTTAATATCAAATTGGCTCAATTTGGACACATACTTTGACTTGTTTTACCATGGCAAGCTGTTCTATCCAGTACAACAAAGGCTGAAAACACCTTGTGACTGCATGAGGACTGGGGCTCAAGAGATCTGGGTCTTGTTCCTGGTTCTGGCACGGGGACTTGAGCAAGTCACTCAGTTGCCCATCTGTAAAATAGAAGCAGTAATACTCCTTTTTTCTCAGCTGCTCTAAGTGAATATGAGTCTTGCTGTGAGTATCCAGTCATGCTAAAAAAAACCCTTTTATTCCTTCATATCCTTTGGCACCTCTGAAAATTATTCCTGTCTTTTCTTTCAGCCTAGGTCCCCTGCACCTCTGCTCTCCTTTCCATATATCTCCTTTCCAGCTCCCTGCCTAATGGGCACCTCACCCTCTGTCATAGTTTGCACATGACTTTCAATGGTGGCTGCTCTTTCCTCAAAGGGTAGTGTTTGTTGTGACATCCTGTAGATGCAAGCCAGAGCATGGACAATTTGCTTTGCTTCAGGTTCCCTCTAGCTATATTAACTCTAAAAAATATAAAACTTTTCATAAACTCTAAATAAAACCTGTGTTCATTGGGAGAAGCTGATAGAAGCTGTGTCCATGCTAGGGGGGAAGAAGGGAGGAGAATTCAAGTTTCCTTGTCAAGGGTCTGGAACCAGGAATGTAGCTTTCTCAACCTAGCAGGCAGAGTGGAGGGACAGGTCTGCCAGTTGACCATATTGTAGCCACCGAAGCATTGCCTGATATGATGGCACTGGGAAGAACACTAGAAGAAGGGCTCTGCAAAGTAATAAATAGGTGGTTCAAAATCTCCTGACAATACCCTACTGTTTCTGTGTCAATTTGGCTTGTCTTTTTGTTTAACATAAGGATGTTTCAGGCTCATTTGGAAAAGGCCTTTCACCTGAAGTAATTGTCATTCACAGAAAGCAACCTGCAAGTGTCTGTGTTCAGCAATGCGAAGCAAATATGGGAAGGAGACACTTTGATCTTGCGCTGTGAAGTGAGCGGAGCGAAATACCCTTTGTCCGTGAACTGGTGGCATCTGAGAAAGAGTGGAGATCAGGCAGAACTTGTAGCTGGCATGGACCAGGATGGCAAACTGAGCCTGGGCCCCTCCTTCCAGGAGCACAGTGCTCAGGGGGACCTCAGACTAGAAAGGAAAGGTCCTACCACATTCATCTTGGCCATCTACAAGATTTTAGCCATCAGTGATGGAGGACCTTATAAATGTGAAGTGACAGAGTGGCATACTGACAGGAGCTGGAAACAGGCCCAAGAAACCTCTGTAGTGGTTAATCCTCTGAGTAAGTTGGTATAACCCTTTTTCTTACATTACAGTTGGATGCTCTCCTAGCTGAAGCAGTGTGGTTTATTTTTGAAAATGCAATGCAGTGAAGCAGTATTTCTGGGGAGTGTTCCAGGCTCTGCCATTGAGTCACAGTGCAACTGTAGGCAAATCACTTAAGAGCTGTATACTTCAGTTTCCCTACCTGTACCAGAAAGGAAATGCATCCTGCTTTCTTCATGGGAGGAATAATTAGCGATTGTTTGAGTCCTCCTAATCCAGGGGTGGGCAAAACATGGCCCCATGGGCCGGATGCGGCCCGCCAGGCCATTCTATCCAGCCTGCGGGGCCCCTAAAAAATTTAGAAAATTAATATTTATCTGCCCCTGCCTGCCTGTCATGCAGCCCTCGATGGCTTGCCAAAACTCAGTAAGCGGCCCTCCGCCCAAAATAATTGCCTGCCCCTGTCTAATCCCAGGTACCATGGAACTGCCAGTTTTTTCTTAGCTTCCACCATGGTCCCACAACTTCTTGAAGCACAAAATAAGGATATTTTTTCTTTTGGCACCATTGTTTGTGGAACTCAAATTGCACAACAGCTTGTACTGGGGTGTGCTACTAGGGTCCTGAGTGAGGGACCTTGATTTTTGGAGTGTGCAGAACAGAATTAAGGGTCATCATCAAAGCTCTGTGTGTGCAGGGCAGTGGTTGGGAAAGCAGCAGGCCAGGGTTTAGGCACGTTTCAGAGTTTTTTGTGTAGATTCAGGACTGGAATAGCATAGCGCAGGTCAAAGGGGAGGTGCATTAGCAGAACTGAGAAGTTCAGGAATGACAGAATGGAGTTTGCTTTTAATCAAGCCTGCATTGCCTGGGCAAGGTTTGTATGCTTCAGAACAGCCTAAGGTACATATTGTCAGCCTGGAGGCACATGGGCAGGACTGGGACAAGTAATGGCAGGGAATTATGGGCAACACTTCTCCTTGAAACATGAATTGGGATAAAGCTACTGGTTCCTCAGTGGCATGAGTACTGACAACCTGGTACCAATGATGGCCTTCCTCATTCACAGATCTGACTGCTGTGTTGACAGCCCGAACAGCAGACATCAAATTGACCCAAGATTTTGAACTCTTCTGCACCGTCTCAGTTGCTGACAAAGCACCCGTATCTGTCACTTGGCAATTTCTTCCCACCACAGAGAAGGGCAGCTATCAGCAACTAGTCAAACTCATGCCTGATGGTGCCATCAAATGGGGAACTACCACACTGCACTTACAGAAGAAGACCAAACTCTCAAAATCTACATCTTCTTTCCAGCTTGTAATCCACAGTGCCATGGAGCAGGATGAGGGGAGGTACAGGTGTGATGCAGAAGTCTGGAGGAAAAGCTCATTCCCAGCAGGACTTCCAGCTGCTGCAGTGATGTCTAACGCCGTGGCAATAAAGGTTAATCCACCAGGTGAGCTGCAGCAAATGTTTTTTCTCAGTAGCAGTTTGAAAGGGGATAATACAGGGAATGGCCGTTGGAAAGTCACTCTCACTTGTGTCAGGGGACTTGAACCAGGCAAAGCTGGAGGGTTCACTCCAGGCTCATTCAGTTGTTGACCCTGTCTGCTCAGACTGTTACCAGAGCAGGACACTTGAGGCCAGTGGTGGTTTTGAGAAGTGGGCAGGACTTTGACAATGATCTGCTGTCAATAAAGTGAATCCTTCAGCTGTTGTAAGTCAATGGGCATGTCTACACGTGCACTTTAATATGCAGCATCTTATTCTACTGCACATTAAAGTATCATGGCAAAAACAGTGCAACTATACTAATGTGAAGTGGAATAAGTCTACTCCACATTAAGCATCACTAAAAAGACATTTTTGTTGTTGTTGTGCATTAGGGCAGCCTAATGCACCTTAACCTACATCTATGTACTAAACCTAATGTGCAATAGCAAAAGCACACTAATGAATGTGTAGACATGCCCAGTGTAACTCTACTGAAGTCAGTAAGGCTCCAGCAGTTTACACCAGTTAGTGACTTGACCTCTGCAGAACATAGAGGAACACCTAGCCAGGCAAGTGACCCCCAAAGCTAGGCCTATGTTGCACTTGCTGAAGGAATTTTCTAGTAGTGGTTCTGCTAAGGAAGAAAATGTTAGCTTTTTTTTACATAAAATCTTTCCATTCAATTGTTGCCTTTACAATTCAGTGAACTGAAATCATACTCTCTCCATGCTCTGAAGTGCCAGGCTTGCTGAGGCAATAGGCTTAATATTTTCCCTCAAGTTCAACCTCCCTGCCCCGGCCTTTTCCCTAATGATCCATTTCCATGTGTTTCCTTTCTTCCTGGATTTTGTCAAAGGGGCTCTATGTTTTGCATCTGAAATACAGGTATTCAATGGGTGGGAGAACCTGGGAAGCAGTAACACAAAGGGGATTGAGTTGACACTGAGCAGTGAATTAGATTTCACGGATTTCATAGCTGTTAGTGCTGGAAGGGACCTCACGAGATCATCAGGTCCAGCCCCCCCGCCCAAGGGGCAGGAAGTCAGCTGGGGTCAAATGATCCCAGCAAGATAGGCATCCAGGTGTTTCTATGTAATGTGGAAATGTGTGATGTAAAATGGCAGGAAAAACATCAGTGGACTGGTATGTTGCTTTTGTTGGGGCACCCTAGTCACAGGAGCAAGAAGCCAAAGACCTTAATGACCCTTGAGATACCACAGTCATTCCTGGTCACTGCAATACTTCTGGAGGAGCCACAAAACTGCCCAGGGGACTGGAGGGATTGATTTGGCAGCTGCCAATCCCACCTGGGCAGGTACACATGCACCCCCTGAGTGTGGTGGTGCACCCCCTACAAAAAGGCAGGAGGTCACCACTCACCACCTGCTGCCAACACCACCAGCGGCATCTGTGGGCAGTTCGTGATTGCCATTGGCCACCGTCGACACTGCTGGTGGCATCTGTGGGTGGCTGCCGATCCCTGGTCGGCACTCACTACCCCCCCCACCTCCAACAGCGCCAGTGGCATCTGCGGGAGCTCCCTGCTTACCGCTGCCACGCTCCTGCTGATGCTGTACCCCCCCCAGCCGCCGGGGGCACATGTCATTCATGCACCTATGGAAAGGAACATAAGCACAAGAGAAGTAGATTACTCTATAGTAAACCTCTAGGAACTGCAGCGTGAACTACAGTCATGCCTTGGCAGGAAGGGGAAATGTGACAGTGCAGTTAGCATGCCAGTCACTTTCAGAGGAAAGAGAGCTCTTGAAACAGCATTGGCAGCCATCAGGGTAGACACATGACCAGAAAGGGGTGGGGCTTGAGGTATATATAGGCCCAGGGCCTGAGGTAGGCAGGCAGTCTCATCCAGGTAGCTGACAGGAAAGGAGTTTCTGATCAGGCCACTGAGAGAGTGACCCTGGCTCACACCACACGTCTGTGTTATGCAGCCTTAGGGCTGGGAGCTCAGCTGTAGGCCCAGTGGGACAGCCAGCATGCAGCCTGAGGGCTGGGGGGCAGCTGGTGGTTTGTGGAGGGGACTAAAGAGAGGTACAGAGGTCCCAACTGACTCAGGGAGAGAATGGCCAGAGGGCTCAGAGAGACAGCAGGGGCCAGAGGCTTGGAAAGAAAGCAGAGGGTCAGAGGGCCCATGAAGCAGGCAGGGCCAGGGTGCCCATAGGCCTCACTGGCCTAAGAGCTGGGCCAGGGCTCAGGAGGGACTGAAGGCCAAGAATGGCGACAGCTGGAGACTGGTGGGGCTGGAGAGCCCATAGATCTCAACTCACCTGGGAGAGGGACCAGGGTCTAAGGGGAAGGACCAAAGGGCAGGAGGGCCATGGCCAGAGAACAAGGGAGCCAGAGTGCCCATAGCGCAGAGAGGGGCTGGTGTAAGGATGAACAAAGCCAGGAGCCCATAGCCTGTAGGGGTGGTTATGTGTTTAGTGTGTGTGACATCTGTGAGGCATAGGCATGGGCATGGGTATTGGGGAGGACAGAACCCACTTCATTACCCCTTAAGGTAATGAGCACAGATGCCTGTGTTCATGAGTGTGAGAGCAAGCTCCCTGTTTCTAAAAGAGAAATACAGCATGCCATGGCAGATGAGGGGAAGGGGAGATTGCCCAAAGGGAGTGAAGTTAATAAGGATTGAGGGGGCTCCAGGGACCTCACTGCCACCCCTGGAGTGGGACCCTGTTACAGGAAGACAACAAGTGCATAGAATAGATCATTCCTAGTTCAGACATCTCTGACAGTTCAGCAACTTAGTTTGCCACACTGGGTAATACCTACAGTGCACCACACCATATTGTCCTGGGGAAGAGAAAGGAGAAACTCATTCATGCCATTTGCCAAAGCTGTGCACAGTGGGTTGTTTCTGTGCAGAGGCAGCATAGAAGGAGCCTGTGGTCCTAAGGTAACAATAGTGGTATTTGCTACATCTTTGCATGTGGGCATGCCTACACACGCATGCGCACGTGTGTGTTTTCATGTAATTTGAAACACTTGGGTTCTTTTGCATGCTCCAGCTGTTTCCAGGCTTGTCAGAGAGCAAAAAGCACATTGTCAGCAGGCAGGGTTCAAAGCAAGACAGGCAATGGGAGATTTTGCTTAATTAATTACATTGAAATTGGTTCTGTTTTCCCTTTCATATCTTTATGCACTAAAGAGAAAGGGAAGCAGCCTGTCTGCTTTTTATGGTAACTGATTTTCAGCAGTGCAGCCATGAGTGGCAAGCACTGGTAGCAAAGCACTCTGCATCCTATTGAGGTGATGTTTACAGGGGCTGCACCAGCAATTTCTCTCATCAGAATTTAACAGCAGCTCCCTTTGAGCCTAAGCCTAAACACAGGAATGTTTTTGCTCCTGTGAGTTGAGGGAGGCTACCACACTGACCACTCTAAAGTGGGATGTATCTGTTGGCTAGAGCTTGCAACTCAGCACAACTTTTGTGGGAAAGTCCCAGTTTTCTTGGACTTTTCTTGTGCTCCATAAGGGCCATCTTGCAAGCTAGCCTGACTCAACCCATCAGAGTGAAAGAGGCATTTTCTTGGCTCTGTCTGAAAACCTGACTGATGTTCCTATAGTTGTCTGCCTCCAAAAATCTTCAAGTGCTTTGCAAACTGTATACTACAGTTCCCACTCTCTGACTGCCATTTGCCCTGGGATGCAACACAACAGCTCTTCGTTAGTGCACAGTTGTAATGCATGGTGGTTGCCATCAAGGTGATTGTCCTGAGTGTCTAGAGCCAACCAGGAATGTGAGTCTTGGATAAGCCCACCCTTGTGGGATAGCTATTCTCTTGGCCAATCCTGGGGAATTTGAGGATGTCTAAAGCTAGCGCATGAGCCTCTATTGATTAAATTGAATTGAAATGGAAACTTCTAGTCAGTCTAGATCTTCTGTGATGCCCAAGGGACACAACACACTGACCAGTGGGTTACAAATGCCACCATTTGGGAACAGAAATGAAAAATAGTAATACCCTTTGAAATTAGAGGAGGGAAGCATAATGAGGGGAGCACAACAGGTAATCTAACTTGGGTAATGAAGCCTGGGATTAATGTCCCTCATCTCTTTACTGACTGAAAGCAGTCAAGGTCTTTTGGGGGAGTTTTTTGGGCCAGCCTGTGGTCCAGAAAGTGTACCTACAGCAGATCATTGCTGCTCCTCCACATCTAAGGTGACTATTTTGGGAGAAGGAGAGTATCCCCTACAGAGCCACCTGGCACACCTGGGGGCTTCCATGCTGTTGGCACTGGCCTTGCTGATTCCTGGAGCTGTTGCGATTTGGTTCCTAACTTCCCAAAGCAGGTTTTCCCTTCTGTTCTGAGGCTAGAGATCAGTTGCATCCTATCCCAATTAAAATGTCTGTGTGTGGTGGAGGGAGTGGGGAAGGGGGAGAACAATTCATGATTTTGTCGGGGAAAAAGGTCAGCTACTGCGTAGCACCCATACACCGAAGGGTGTGCTCATACACCGAAGAGCACTGGCCATGTCCCATCTCTGGGCTTGTTCCTAGCTGCGATCAATTCAGCACAGAACGAGGGAGTGTCAGCATGTGAGTTTATTGTTCTGCAGAGGGGTCACTCAGTGTCACAAAGACAGAGAGTTCCCCTGAACTGAGTTTACAGCTTGGCATTTATACATTAACCGTTACATTGTTGCGCGCACATTCAGGTTCTTCTGCTTGCCGTTACAAAGTTGCAAGATATGCAGAACAAGTTTAGGCTGCTTGAGACCAGTTTTGCAGTTAACAGTTTTGGTTACTGTCAGCAAAAGGTACATAGTTTGCTTACTGTCAGCAAAAGGCTATCTTTAAGCTTAGGGAAAGGTCATCTGCTTCTCATGGGTCATCTGTTTTTTTTTTAATGGTTGTTTTTCTTACACCTTTAATTCTACTTTCCTTCCCTTTTGGTCAGGCAGAGGTAGGGTCTGTGTCAACCTCCAAATCATAGAATCAGACTCCTTGATCTGGTAAGCCGTTTATCCAAGGGGTCTAAAGCCAGGCAACACTTCAGTTTCGCTTAGGGGCTATGTTCAGGGGCTGAATCTGTTTCCAGTTATGGTAAGTTAATCTGTTTACTCTTAAGATTGCTGGCTGTGTCTGGAGCCAGACCTGATGGGCAATACTTTTTAAGAGGTGAAAAACTAAAAAAAGGTGTAAACTCCAAGTGCTATCTGTCCTTGCATGCCTATCCACAGCCTTATTATGCCTCTTGTTGCATTTGGCTGCAAATCCTACTGTTGTTCTCTTGCTGAGTGAAGATCAGGGCTGTAGAACATACCCAATCTAGCCCACCCTCCCTGAAATGTTTTATGAGGTGGATCCTAGCATCAAGGCATTTTGATTGTTTTTTCAATTTGGGAGCAATGTGCAAACATCTCTAGTGAGATTTAAGATGTGGAAAGGGGGGGTAAAGAGAGAGAGAGAACAGGAGACAGGGAGGTAGGGAAGGCAGGGAGAAGAGAATGTTTTTTCAGGACAAATGGGGAGAGAATAGGTACTGTGAGGTACCAATTTGAGTACCTCGCTTTGTCCATAATGTCAAGTACTTAATTTATAGTAGATAGGCAGTCTCTTCTCACCTTCCTGATCTTCTCTAGACCAGTGTGATTGGTATTAAAGACTCCAGAGCTAATTTCTGTTCCCAGTTCTCTGTATGCTTAGCAGCATGGCACAGCCCTCTCAGCTACAGTAGTCAGCAAAGTAGAGCTGCCTTACTTAAATGCAAGAGTAAGGGATTCTAGGGCAGGATATAAGAACCATCTATCTGGGTGATTCATTCCCTCTTGCTGCCTCCTCCGAGCCACCCTCAACAAGACACAGGAGCCCTCAGCACAACCCACCCTTGTGTTCAGTGTCTGTTTTGCTAGTTTCTCTGCATCCTTAGCCTCTGCTGTGCAAGGTGATGAACTAGAGCTTGAAAAGAAAGAGAAAGGAAAGAGAAAAGGCTCCAGAGAAGCGGTCTCCCTGCTTAGACAGTGAATCTCACCATCCAATATAAGCAGTTTCTTGGAAAGCAGGGTTTGTGCATTGGGGCTGGGAGGTGTGGGTAGGAGACAATGTGTGTTTGTATGTTTTGTATTGCTTTCCCACAAGAAATTGAATCAGGAACAGGGGATGTGAAATCAAAACTAAGCCCTGTAAAGAGACCACATTAGCCAGATAAGTGACAGTATCATTCCAGGGGAGATGAATGCAGAACCGAAGGAAGGATTAGGATTTTTCTTGTGTTGGCATTAGTCATTCAGTGCTTAATTGAACAATTACCAGGTATAATGGCCGGGGACATTTGGAAACACATTGCAAGACTTCTAGTTAATAACCAAGGCAGACGGACGAAGCAGGAAATGTTACTGAAACCCACATAGGCTCTTTAGTTTTGCATGCAAAATAAGGCCATCATTATTCACCGTTTCCGAAGCTGTGCTTCTGTTTTTAATGCCGGTGTAAGTCTGGTGGTGAAAAATGCAGGAGACAAAAATGTCCTCTGCCTGCAGGACAGGGATTGAGCTGGGAACATGGCCAGTGCACCTCAGCTCTCCTATCACCCTCCCAAACTGCTTTCCCAGCTCTTCTCTGCTCAGTGCCACTGCCTGCCATAACCCTGAAGTCAAACCCTTGCTTCTGGCATCTTCTCCCTGCTCTAACCAAGGGGGTTCTTAATGTTTCTGGCCTTGTGGTTGTGTGTGAGGGTTTGAAGTGGCAATTTTGTTTAGAAGTAGCAGTTTGGGGAAATATGGGAGTAAGTGGCTGCCTATGAATGCAGGGGACTGGAATCAGAGGCATAAGGGGGTCTTTCCAATCCAATGTTGCTAACTGAAAGGAGAGCCCCACTGGAATCCATTTCTTGGCCACATACCTCCACTGTGTATTCTTGGCATTAGTCTCAGGCCCAGCAGTGCCACTGGAAAAGCCAGCACCACCTACCATTATGTAAAATAGGTAAGTACCAGGGAAGGTGATCCATTATTTAGCATGCTGCATTGGGGTATAACCTAACAGATACGGGGCTGAATATCAGCAGAAAATGTTTGTAGGAGGTCTGAAAGAGAAAGTGTGGCAGCCCCATCATTTGAGATCAGTTTAAACCTAAACTGGGCAAAATACTAGAAATACCTCAGAACTGGAACAATCCTGCATGGGAAGGAAGCTTGGTTGGGTGACTTTCCATCTCAGACTTCTCCCTGGTTCTCACTGGTGCATTTCTTTAGAAATGATCTAGTGGGCGAGTCTGCACTGAGAATTTCCAATTTAGGACTGGTTCCTGGTACTTAGATGTGCACACTTCAACATAGTGGTGGTAGGGCTGGCCAGGTTGGTTTGTTGTGCAGGTGCTTCTGGGGGATTGGTAGAAAAGGTGTGTTCATAGGTTTGCTTAAATGACAGAAATGTTGTAAACAGTGCAGTTAAGAAGACAGATTATAATTTGGGCCTGGAGTTCCTTAGACTGAGACTTATCACCTCAGTGCTGATTTCTTAAGACATGGTTTCAGTAAATGTACCCCTTTCCTACTGGTGCCCTGATACTGATAGCTGTTATATTAAGTATTCTTTGCTTCTTGATTTAGAAAGCAAGCTAAAACTAGACACACAGAAAAAATCCCTAGAGATCTCTGGAAGCACAGCTGCAGAAATCGAATGCAGAGTCCTATCACAGACGCAGAGGGATTCTCAGTTAACAGTTGCCTGGTACTTCCTACAACCTCCTCCAGCAGATGCAGCCCCACTCCGGATCATGAGGACAAACCTCAGCAACATTGTTGACTATGGGACAGAGTTCAGCTCTCCACTGCAGAAATCCAGATTCTACAGTGAGAGGGTCTCTAATGACCTATTCAAGCTACATATTCTGTCTGTGAATCACGGTGACCATGGCAGGTATTACTGTGTCGTGGAGGAGTGGCTCTGGCTGGCTGGTAGTGGCTGGTACAAATTCGGAGAGAAGGAATCAGAGAAGACCACACTGGAATTCAAGCTTTCAGGTAAATGGACTGACCCAGAAAGGGCTTAAAGCAGCTGTCTTCCTTGTAGGGAGCTGGGAGGTATATGCAAGTTTGCAAGGGATCTCATCCAAGGCAGGAGATGGGATGGCTGTGAACCTCTAAAAGGAAAAATATTACTTAGTAGGGTTGATCAAATCAGATCTGATCAGCCAAACCCAGCATCTTGTCCCCAACATCAGCTGACACCTAATGCCTTGAAAGCATGGCCTCTGTCCTTTCACAACCTCCATTATACAGTCAGTGCTCTTGGCTACGTAGGCAGTCAAACCAGTGGAGGAGAAATTCTTTCCCACCCCTTGTGAACAGCCACTTATTATCATCACAAAGTTTTCTAAATTGTAAAACAGTCTGGACATCACAAAAGCTTCTTGCCCCAATCATCACATTCTCTAATAAAGCAAAATTGCCCCTTAACCTTCACATAATATGTATACAAGCCTATGCCCTACCACACATCCCCTGCATGTTACTTCCTTTAGTCTTACTGTAATTATGTTGTATCTCCTCCCACCCTTCAGTCTACCTATTCTACCAATTTTTTGGTTCTGTTTCCATATCACCCTAATTTCTTCTCTTTGCATGACAACTCCTTGGGAATGGTGAACCTTTAAGATGCTAAGTTCTTAGGCTTTTTTTCTGTAAGCATTTGTTTTCTATTATCAGTGCATGTACAACCACAGGAAGCAAGGGTTGGATTCATAGCTGCAAAGACCTGATGCTTAGCACAGCTTGGGGTGGGGGAAGGAGAAGAGGCCTTTGGCAAAGGCTGACATGTTCTCTATTCCCAGCATTTGTGGTGTAGTGGTTCCCTTCCAAAGTCAGCAGATGGGGGCTGGAGGTGAGAGCAGAGCATGAGGTAGATTGAGCCCTAATAGGGCACATTGCGCACTAGCAGGTCACATGAATTCCTGTAACCCTGGAAAATAATTTAATTCCACTTACCGGAAGGGGCCCTTTAGCAGGCCACCCAAATCTCCCACAAACTGCATGGAAACTCATATCAACCTTTCAGCACTCCAGAACAAGCCTTTCTGCTCCTTCTGTAATGTTGGAATGCAATCTCCCCTTGACGACCTTTTCTCTTTGCTTCCTGCAACAGAAAATAAACTGCATGTTGAAAAAACAAACCACACCATCTCATCTATAGAAAATGAGGATGTGACCATGAACTGCATTGTGCAGAGCTCAGACGAACAAGCATCTCTCTTGTCTGTTGTCTGGTTTTACAAGTCCAAGCACTCTGGGAGAAAGCCCCTTGTGAAGGTGCATCACAAAGGCATGGTGGACATTGTCCAGAAGAATATGGCAGGGAGGCTGCAGTTTCTCCGCCCATCCTCTGGTGACTTCAGTCTCGTGATGAGGAATGTGGAGCTGAGTGACAGTGGTGTGTACTACTGCCAGGTGGAAGAATGGGTGTACAAGAACAGCAATGGAGCTTGGGTTCAGCAGGCCTCGGAGCTATCAGGGTACACAAGTCTGACAGCACTTTCTCCAGGTAATGCTTGTATTGCACCACATCCAGGTCTCCTGCCTATGATACTACTCATCTCAAGCACATACCTGCCACATCTCTTAGGGGTTCTTGTGTAGTCAGGGTGGAGGTGCACTGGCAGGCTACAACTGGAGACCCAGGACTGTCGTATTGGGGGTGCCTCAAGGCCAAGACAAGGGAGCACTTGCAGAGCTTGGCTAGGTGCCTTCAGGATGCACCAGCAGGGAGTAAAGTATGTTAATATAGTTTCATAGTTTCTAGGGTCAGAAGGGACCTCAGCAGATCATTTAGTCTGACCCCCTGCCATGGCAGGAAAGAGTACTGGGGTCAAATGACCCCAGCAAGGTGTTCATCTAACCTCCTCTTAAAAACCCCCAGGGTAGGAGCCTGCACCACCTCTCTTGGAAGTTGGTTCCAGACCCTAGCCGCCCTGACCGTGAAGTAGCACCTCCTGATATCTAACCTAAACCTACCCTCTGCCAGCTTGTGACCGTTATTCCTGGTCACTCCTGGCGGTGCTCGGGGGAACAGTGACTCCCCCAATGCCTGCTGATCCCCCCTGACTAGTTTATAACAGGCCACAAGATCCCCCCTCAGCCTTCTCTTTTGGAGGCTGAACAGGTTCAGGTCCT